TTATTAACATTTGTTTATATCTTATTTATTAATTTCATGTTAAAGTTTTTTTTATTTTATATATGTCAATTATGTTTTTTATAAAAAATTCAATGTAAAAATTATAATTTAAAAATTATTATATACACGTAATACTTGTTTACATACATACGAGTAATTGATTATAATTTTCAATATCATATTATTTATAATTTTTACTACATAAATTCAAGAATTATAATAAAAAATTTGTTAATAATGGTAACATATTAATATTACTAATTATTGTCTTATAATTTCATAAGGACAAGTATTATATATTATGACTTATAATTTTAGGCAGTGCACCCAAAACACAACACTTAATAGCATAATGTATTAAAGCGCTGTGCTTGCCTGTATACAACAGCCACTTCTTCTCTACATTATGCCTTAATATGAAAATATCATTGGTATGTATCATTAATACTTTGTCTCTCTCACCGAACCCCATGATATAATTTTATGTTTATCGTAACCCTACGGTCTGCAATTTCAATGCTACATCAAAGCTTGTCCAGTATTATTCTATATTTATGGCAACACTTTCTTAACTTATTAATACATTGCGAAACCAATTTACCTAATACTTTAATGATAAAACTGTTTAAAGCTTTTAATCACCGTTTTATATTACAATCGGAAATGCTATGAGTAAAAATTTATAAGATGTCAATACGCTAAGACGACGCAATTATTCCCAAATTAGTTATGTTTAGTTTAACATTTGCTATACAACAAACCCAATTTGCATATATTTCTATATTTTATAGGATAAACAATTTTAGGAATTCAAAATAACATATAGCTTATAGAAGTAATACTTTTAACAATATACACATATATAATAAAATTTTTATAATAAGAATATATAAAAAAAAATTTAAAAAATATATTACACATTTTCTCAATAATATATACTTAAACCATTTAAGCTTAAAACGTTTGTATATTGTTCTATTCTATCATATTTATTTAAACGCTGACCTACCTCAAAACAAATACTGAAAAATTCAATCAATGTGTATATATATTATATATTCAAATAATTAAAATAGGATTCTTTATTTACGTTTCGGAAATTTTATATTAATGATGAAAGTTTATATTTTAGTTTTTATATTTAAAAGTATTTGAATTGATATCCTTGATCAAATACAATTAAATTGGCATACGCAAAAATTATAACAATATGTTAAACTATTTACAGTTTATTGATATTGTTACGAAATATCATTTATATATTACAAAAACACTTTGTTATAAAATTAACAAAATATTTCATTTTAAATCAGATATTTAACATAATTTAATATGAAAATTTTTGGTACTGATATCTACAAATACCCTACAACTGCCTTCAGTTTTAACAAAATTTTGAAGTGTTTTCCTTCTGTTTGCACTGTGTATTGCTTTGCTTCCTACAACGTATATACAGTATGAAGCTACTATAGATTTTACTCCACGTATACTGTTGCCTGCTTTTTTACTCGTTGTTCATTCAATACGAAAATGAACCAGTACCAACAACAATGCTGCATGCAAAATAACGCCGCACCAATGTTTGTGTGTGCGTGTTTGACTCTCTTATTGCTTTCAGTCGTACAAAAATTCATATAGAAAAATATTCTTGCCTGAAAACATTAAAACATTGTGACTTTTCGTTCAAAGCGTACGTGCTAGTGAAAAATAAGTTTTAGTTCGAAAATTATAATTAATTTTTGCATATTCTTTATTCAGGTAAGTCAAAATTGTTCTTCTACAATCTATTAGTTATATTTCCAAATACTTTTTTTTAACGAAACTACAAAAATCTGTGGCGTTTTATTATATAAAAATTTCGAAAGAAAACGACCTATTTTATCGTGAATTTCATATAAAAATCACTTTAACTTAACAACATGGCTGCTTGACTATTCGTTCGTAGCACATACGAGTACAAAATTTTATATTGAAAATTAAGCGCGCGTTTTCTTCGATTTTCTATAACTAAAACATAAAATGAAGTGACGGTTATTTTTTAAAATATTTTTATTAAATTTATAATATATTTTCAATTGTTTAAAACATAAAATTGTTAATTACGGCGTAAAATATTAAGAAAAAAAAGGTAAAGGAGGGTGTTGAATACACATTGAGTTGGCAGACATGGTGATTATTCAATACACAGAAATATATTAATACTAAAATGAAATATAATAAAATATGATATTTAAGCATAAAACAGAAAGTTTAAAATGAGAATTTATATTTTTGTACACATTTTTGTTAAATAACGCCATTTTTAAAACGAAGTTTCATAAAATAGTAACTTTCTGCTTATAATATTGGTATCAGTAATGGTGCTGTAAGAAAGGTACGGAATGAGAGGAGACTATTGGAAATAGAGCGTTGTAGGGTAGAGGGGAAGCATAAACTTTCGTTCGTTTTTACTGCATTTCGGTGAGGTGGCGGGCAACTGAAGAAGAAGCTAGAAAATATTGAGAAAACAGAAATGTAAGCGATAGTGTAGTGTGTACTAATTCTGATAAAGAACAAAATCTTTAACCAGCAATCAAAGACTGTATTTTCTAATAATTAAATAATAATAATATTTAATTTCATGTACATATATATTAATATATGAATGAGAGTATTTAATTAAAAAACGCATATTTTATATGGTGTTGTTTTTTTTTTTTGATATTTTGTCTTATTTTATTGGACACCACTGTACTTGCTTACCCCGCTATATAAAAATTTTTCATATACAAATATACACATTTGCTGCTTCAGTATGGCTGCTTTATATGACGAATACATTTCGTACCCTCGTGGTACGTACGAAATTCAATTCACTATGCTTTGCCTTTGCTCGTATTTGTACGTACAGCCAGTTCATTCTATGGTTAACTTTTTAAGCAAGCGAGTGGCGTTCAGTTGAGTTCCGTACAAATATTTAGCAAAACCAAGAGTTTTACACAAGTATATTTCTGGTAAAGCATCATTAATATAAGATTGTTTCGTGCGTTATTTTGTACAGTGTAAGTTAAAATAATTGAACTCGTTTAAGCAATATATTTTTTTATTTTCGTAATCTTTATGAATAAAATAAATGTGTGCTTTGAGAAAACATATTCATTAAATAAGTTAATAAAGTGAAATTTGACGATTTTTATTTGAAAAAAAAAAAAAATAAATAAACCTACACAAAAAATATTTTTGGAAGTTTAGCTAAAAAGCATATGTGTGCTCTTTTTTTTACCATAATTGATTTCATTTAAAAAAGAAAAGTAATTTTGAAAGTTATTGTACTTTAAAAAGAAATACTGTATATCTGTTAAATTTCGAAAATAAGTTTAAATACTTTCATTAAGTGCAAAAATGTGTCAAAATTCTGGACTGTACGTTCTGTTTAAAATAAACTGCGGCAATCTTAACCTTTAAAAATCAGATATAAAATTATTTATTAGCCACTACTGTACGTTTAAGCGACATGTTGGCGCAAAAATAATGTGTCTATAATCTTTGATTTTAACAACTTCAGTTTATTAATAAATGTGTTTTAACAACAATTTAATTTGTTAAAGCACAGTATTTTAATACGATGGTGAACCATTTCTTCTAGCTTTATTATATAAATTTGCAAAACAGGTTAAAATGGATTTCTAATTTTAATACATTTATATGACTAAAAATTGGAAATAAAGGCTTTTTTTTTTGATGTATATAAAGATATTCCGAATTTTCTTTTAGCACGATGCTTAGTCAAAAAAATGGCGCCAAAAAATTTATAAATGGAACTTCGCATTTCACTAATGCAAAATATTCGTTGATATGCACTGTCATTGACTCTATCGTATTGTTTGTTATTGCTTTATACATTTTTTTTCTTTTATCTTTTCAGACAGTTCGTTTACGGCAGCTGTTGAAACCAGTTCACCTCAGTAGTGCGTTGCGAAAAAAACAATGGAAAAAA